TTGGAAGGACAACATTCCACCAAGAACAGCTTTCCTGTTCCTGTACTGTTGCTGTGAGGATGTCATCGAGCCTCTATTATTGATCTCCACTTTCTTTTCTACACCATCAACATTTGTTCTACTTAATTATCGCACTCACTCACTAATTACATGAAATGTCTGCAGGTTCCATTGCAATAATATCATTATTCACAGATATTGCTACATATACTAGCTTATAAAAAGTACATGGAGACCATGTTCCTTGTTCCACAAAGCACTATTGCTCCATGAAATGATAATTATTGTATGTTCGATACTAATAAATAAATTAAATAAATATAGACCTTCAGAAGAAGTACTCCATTGAGAGAGGACATGTTCACTGCTACACCACCAACTATACTATACATTATATCTGGTGCAGGCATTAAGATCCAAGAGCAATCTGGTGCAGGTGTTGAGCAATTTTGGTGGAGGAAAATAATTAATCCACAACAGAGAATGAGAATTGTAGATCCCTCCTTTTTTTTTTTTTTTTTTTGGTCTTCCAATGAAATGGGTTTCTGCAGGTTGAGCTAGCTGTAAGGGAAGTTTGTGAGCAGTCCCATTAAATTTTGTTGTTTCATGGGGCCTAATAAAAGATTGTGGCTTGAAGTGTTATTATCTGCCTTTGGAGAAGGGTTTCAGGGTACTCAGGATTGCCACTAGGGCAGGGTGTATTGACGTGTAGCTCGAGTCTTAGACCCCGATCGTCTGGAGGTTGTGATTCTAAACACATAGAAAGACGAGAGAATTGGTTGAGTCGAAATGATGGTGTTTATGAGTGAGTTTGTTTAAATAATAAGTTGTTTGGATGTAAGAAATAATACATTATCCACAATCATTTATTTTAAATCTCACGAGTGAAAAATATGTGAGATTTCAACCCTTTCGTTTTAAAAGACTCTTACTCTCGCATTTATCATTTAAATATGTGCATTTAATTATCACCCTTTGAATCAGGAAAATAAATTATTCTAAACAATACATCTATAAATTATTTATCACATAAATATTCCAAAAGAATAACAAAAAAATTAAATTTTCACACCTTTGTAAATCTAGCTACAGTACTCTCAGATGTTCATCCGTTGAAAATCTTAGTTATAACCACCATATGGAGAGTAGTGATGCCAGAAATCCCAATGAAAGAGTAAAAAGATTTAAGTGTTTGGGAGATGTGAATCATTAGTTATTGGAGTGGGAGCTACGACAATACCAACTAGTTTATTGTCAGAATCGCGATATATAAGTTTACTTACATTTTAAAATTAAGGCGGGGCTATCCAGTGAAATCTTTAGTGGGCACTTGTTTTGGGAAGTGGCAGATCCCGTGTTCGACCCCACTGAAGCTCGTTATTGTGTTCCCGGAAGCATGTAATGGAGATCCTCGTGAAGGGACCGAAGAACTCAAATAGACGAACCCTCAAGTTTGATCTCGCTTCGTCATCGCTCAAGCGGTGTTTTCATGGGAATGTTCTCGGGTTATAAAAAAGAAAGGTGGGGCCTATAATCCTTCTTGGACTCAAGCTTATGGATCAATGGGACCAAAATCATTAACCAGTCCCATTCTAGGTCAGTGGCTACGGACCATAAACACTGATACTGATTGGCAAGTCCTCCACACCACACTACTGCAAATCGGCAATAGCTTTTATGTTATGGCTATGGAGCTGACGCCCATCCCCTGGCTGGTCCTCCTTCGCTTGAACACTGCTGCCATGATATGAACAGTTCTTCCCACAAGTTTACAACTAGCAATGTCAAACACCACATGATCATAAATTCATAATATGCAACATAAATAATAATGAAATCTCTTAGTGGAGAAGCAGATTCTCTCCAAGCCACAAGATTAAAGGAAAAATCGAAATCAATTGTCGACAGAGCAATTGAGCATACTAAGGTTGGGTCTCATATATGTCGACTGTTGCTGTCTCTTCGAGTCCACGCAAAAACCTGGGATCCACATTTCTTTCTGAGAGAATATTTTCTGGCTCTTGAAACAGATGCAATGAAAAGACAAGACATCTGATCAAGTAAACTTTGTTATCCGACAACCGCAACAACTTCATCGGTCGTTAATAAACAAGTTATGTTAGGGCTGGTAATCCACGGTTTGGCATCGATTTACCAGCAAATAACCTAAATCTTATAGGTGGGAGATTGATGTGGGCGGATCGTGGAACAAAGCTTTTTTATCCATATACTTATTCGGGTGGGAGGGTGAGTGGATTGCGGATCACTCGAATGATTCACGTCCCACTTTCTTGATTGACAAATAATTTTTCGTTGGTTATACTATCGAATATCATCATTTTTCCTAATTGCACCACACACGGACCATCCACTTCTAAAAGCGAAAAAAAATAAAGAATGTTCCTAAACTACTACTATTGATTATTATGTTGTGTAGTCCATTCGATATTCGAATGCAAATCATAAACTGTTAATTGTATCATAATCATAAAGAAACGTTACTTGTTTCTAGACAATTGGTTGATGAAGTAATGAAGAATTTGATAACTTTGCCAACGCATTGGAATTCACACACACGTAAAAAGCCTTGGTCTCTATGAATATGTGGCTAGTGAAAAGTTGGTATGAGTAACAAAAAAACTTTGCATGTCAAATGCATTAACGGAGCCACTATAGGCAAAGTGAAAGTGTCTAAATTGATAACGTTTTCCTATTTTTTGATGAATTTATTATAAATATTAATCAACTTGCATAATAACTAGTCGAAGAAATATTGTAGATGAATAACGACACATCGATTGGCCATTACCATCCTACCACCAAACATGTTGGGCAATTATAATTCCTTTCAGAATATACGATATCATTTTGTTATCATAGATGTAACTTTGCTAATATCCTTCGGTTCTTTATAGTGCCAATGTGGATTTTTCGGGGGGATAATTTACATTTTGTTATCCGCACCTCTGTTAAATATACATACACCCCATTAAAAAAGATACAGATAGTAGATACCCACTTACAAGACAAACTTTAATCAGTATCCTTAATATTATTTCTAAATTCAAAAGATCTTGTTGTGGTTTGAGTCTTTGAGAACAGCTAATCAAAAGCAAATTAAATCTGCCAAATTGCCGGTTAGATTTTTAAGCTGATCCCCACTTGTATATGCAGATCACGATATGCCGGAGTCAATCATACCTCGTAAATCATTTAATTAATTATATAATACGCATTATTAATTATCAAGTAGACTAGACTACTTAGTGCTAAATTATCCCACCAAACATCACCCAGAAAGAAAGAAAGAAAAAGCCAACCAAAAGAAAGTCACCGAACCTTCCTCACTCACACTCTCACCACCGTTGAACCAGCCACGTTGCTCGGTCGTTCGGCCACCACCTGTCCTTCGCCGGCCAGCCGTTTTCCGGCCACGTGTACCGGGAAAAAGCCAGTTGGGTCGTTCGATGTGGGAAGTTATCACTTATCAGATCCCGTCGTCAGCCAGCCAGCCACAGCATGATATTTTCGGTTACAAGCCTAAACGTCCAAAACGGCAAAACCTAAAAAAGTTCGATTAAATTAATGGAGAAAAAAAAGGGTTCGGTGCTCGACGAAGCAGAAAAGAAGTTCAAAAGGTTGAGAAGAAGAAGACACCCTTTTGAGTTGTAACTGTTCTTCTCGAACTTGATTGCTGTTTTTGAGCTCAAACTTGACCGAAAGGGATATTATCTATATAGCACCCAGATCGCGCATGGTGATGAACAACACGTAAAACAATATAATTCAGTCACTTCATTTTACTTGAAGTGGAAGAGAAGAGGGGAGAAGAGAATTTGTTTACTTAACTCTACTTCTTATGGAAAAATGAGTGTACTTAAGAGATATTCTACATGTGTTGATTACCAAGTGTATAAAGGATATTGAAGGAGTCATTTCAAGTTGAGAAACCATCTCAATGTTAATATCTTTCTTAATTTATTTAGTTTTATGATGATGCATGTGGACTGTGGTCTATAAAATTTAGAAAGTAAAGATGTCATGATGAAATGACTAGAATGAATTGAGGTCAACTATAAATGTGTGACATGACAATAAATTTGAGGTATGATAATATGCGAGAAATGAGTAGAACAAACGTATAATATATGGTAATAAGTTGATATGATAGTTGTCAATTACGTAATAAAGAAGATCGAGCGGTACGAAAGAAATTCATGCTTATAAATTTCTCCATTTCGGTGGATAAAAGAAGGGGACGCATGCCAATACATTCTTCTTTCATACGTCCATAAGAGTATGTACTTAAAGACAACATATATAACTCGATTGGTGAGTTCATATAGGACTGTGACGACTGTTGCGGCGCGTGCGATAGCAAATGTTGCCGTTGACTTTTAAAAGAAGCTAACTGGTGAGAGAAAACGATGATGCCACACCAACAGCCAATGAAAATCTTTCGAGTGATTGTTGCAGTATATATAGGATGCTGGTATCTGAAGATTGTTGCAGGAGTTGGAGACTTGAGGTTATCATAACTGCTCTCATTCGCGTCGTAAACATCCGGTCATCTCACGTCTTTATTTTGCCAACTATTATTTGTTGTTTTGCACCAGAGGTGGTGTTGGTTTTTAAAATGACTGATTCCTTGCCTCGAGAGAAAATCCACACTATATCTCTTCTTCTTAGTTCTTATACGAGAAAGTTATCGAGACGTAGATTCGGTGATTGTCATTGTTGGAGCCTAACAGACATCGTAAAAAGTAATCTAATGGAACAATTAAGTTACATCTTTACGCCAAACACTTCTCCTAGCTAAAAATCACCAACCGTATAGCACTTCACATGTGAGGTAAGGTCAACTTGGTCAAGCAGCCACTCACTCAAAGAATGTTTTTTTTTTTCTCCACGACAAAACGCCACGTGGCACTCCACTATACATCCTCCACCGCCACCTCACCTATATAAACCGCCATTCCCCCCTCCCTCCAAACTTCATCACCACCACCACCCTCAATTGGCAAATTGTATTCTGTCTTGCTAGCTGCCTTTCTCAACTCAAAACAATACCCTCCAAATTCCTGCCTCTTCCCTCTTTTCCTCAACTTCCTCTCACCTCAAATAAAACCGTCACACATTTAAGTCAAAATCATTTCCCTGTCCTAACACCGAGACCTTAACTGGAAAAAGAAAAAAAAATGGGCACTGCCTTCGACGACACTAGCCGCAGCCGGCAGCCACACCGCGTGGCCATCCCGCCGGCGAAGCCGTTCCTCCAGACGCTGAAATCCAACCTGAAGGAAACCCTTTTCCCCGATGACCCCTTTAGGGAGCTCAAGAAGCAGCCGTCGGCTTCGAGGAAGCTGCTGCTCGGGCTGCAGTACTTCATCCCGATCCTCGAGTGGGCCCCGCGCTACACCTTCGCCTTCTTCCGGGCCGATCTCGTCGCCGGGATCACCATCGCCAGCTTGGCCGTCCCTCAGGGCATCAGCTACGCCCAGCTCGCCAGCCTTCCCCCCATCGTCGGACTCTGTAAGCTAGCTAACTAGCCAACTACTACTTAAGAAAAAAAAAATACTAGGACATTTCTATCGTAACGACTTTCGTAACATCGTTACTTAATGCACTATAGTCAAGTCGATCTGGTAATAAAAATTGACTACCTACTCATGATACAAGATTAATCATGGACCTCAGTGTGAACTTTCAATAACGACTTAACGTTGTACAAAAATTTTGATGATTTGTGTGACGAGTCTGTTGATTAAGAGGATGTGTCGTAACGATTTATTATGTCGATTTATCTTTTGTTTGCTTGTTTGGATGGGGGGTGTAGACTCGAGCTTTGTGCCGCCATTGGTGTACGCGATGCTAGGGAGCTCAAGGGACGTGGCGGTGGGGACGGTGGCGGTGGCGTCGCTGCTGATATCGACCATGTTGGGGAAGGAAGTGAGCCCCGTGGAGAATCCCAAGCTCTACTTCCAGCTGGCGGTCACGGCGACTTTCTTCGCCGGAGTGTTTGAAGCGAGCCTTGGATTTCTCCGGTGAGTGTCACACATCATGTCTAATTTTACTATGTTGTGCCATAACGTATATTGCAATGCAGATAATATATAGTTTGGTAGGTAATTAATTATGGTCTCCAAACATTAATGACTGTTGACCACGAATACAAGGGGTGTGGACTTGTGGTCAAACGAAATACATAGTTTGATTGAAGTCGGAACTTTTTTTTTTATTGATTCTGCTATGTGTTTCCTTTTATTGTACAAAACGGTTAATAATGAGGTTGTTAACGGCAAAACGGCGTCGTATATGCAGGCTCGGGTTTATCGTGGATTTTTTGTCGCACGCGACGATAGTTGGGTTCATGAGTGGAGCAGCCACGGTTGTCTGCCTGCAACAGCTGAAAGGAATATTGGGATTGGTCCACTTCACTCACGAGACGGATATAGTATCCGTTATGCGTTCCATATTCACCCAGACCCACCAGGTAATTAAATATCTTACCGTTATGGTTAAAAAAAATTTAGTTTGGTTTCACTAATTAACTACAGTCGGGTTCCCAATTTGCGGTTTTGATTTGGTTCATTATTGTTGCAGTGGAGATGGGAAAGTGGGATTCTAGGCTGTTGCTTTCTCTTCTTCCTCCTCACCACCAGATACTTTGTAAGTGCATTCATGTAATACCTTTTTGCCTAATTGTTCCATCCTCTTTCTTTACTCTGACAGAGGTGAAATGATTGAACTTGTGACAAGCAGAGCAAGAGGAAATCATACTTCTTTTGGATAAATGCCATGGCGCCTCTCACTTCTGTTGTTCTTGGGAGTGTCCTTGTCTATTTCACCCATGCTGAGAAACATGGTGTTCAAGTGGTGAGTATGAACACTCGAACTAATCTTCATTAAGCTTATTAATTATGAAATATCAGTCAGCTGGTAACACATTTGGTTGGCAGATTGGGAACCTGAAGAAAGGGTTGAACCCGCTATCGATCACCGATTTAGCATTCGGGTCGCCCCATTTGATGGTAGCCATTAAAACTGGGATCATCACTGGAATCATTGCTCTTGCTGTAAGTAACATACTAACATTTGCATAGCTGCAGGAAAAAGTGTCGACCTTTCTGTCATTAACGTGAAGCCATGACACAAAAACATGGTTCTGTTCTGTTCTGTTCTCAGGAAGGAGTAGCAGTTGGGAGGAGCTTTGCACAGTACAAGAACTACCACATCGACGGCAACAAAGAGATGATCGCATTCGGGACGATGAACATCGTAGGCTCCTTGACCTCCTGCTACCTGACCTCGGGCCCATTCTCGCGAACCGCGGTGAACTACAACGCGGGGTGCAAGACAGCAGTGTCCAACATAGTCATGGCGGTGGCTGTGATGTTCACTCTGCTTTTCCTGACCCCGCTCTTCCACTACACTCCCCTCGTGGTGCTCTCTTCGATCATCATGGCAGCGATGCTCGGCCTGATCGACTACGAGGCCGCATTCCACCTCTGGAAGGTCGACAAGTACGATTTCGCGGTCTGCCTCGGTGCCTATGTTGGTGTGGTGTTTGGCAGTGTGGAGACTGGCCTGGTCATTGCTGTAAGTATATGCAACTCTCTGGTTTGTGGAAGGAAAAGGGGATTTTTTAAATTTGACTTAAGTAGATGTAATGATGTTCTGCAGGTTGCGATTTCTCTGGTGAGGATGCTGTTGTTTCTCGCCAGGCCGAAGACTGGCCTCCTTGGCAACATTCCGAACTCGATGATCTACAGAAGCATGGATCAGTACCCGAATGCGGAGAGTGTTCCTGGAGTTATGATTCTGCAGATTGATGCTCCTGTCTATTTCGCCAATGCGAATTATTTGAGAGAAAGGTAAATGTTTTGCTTGGAGGAGAAGAAAAAAGTTGTGGTATATATGATTTCTGAGGGTGTTGGACTTGGATTCTGACGATTGCTAGCTTTTTTGCTGATTCAGGATTTCGCGATGGATCGATGAAGAGGAAGACAAGTTGAAATCCAGGGGAGGTTCGAGCTTGCAATTCGTCATACTTGACATGACCTGTGAGTTCATAAAAAACCATTACATCTCACTGGCTAGGGTAAAGAGTTAAGCCAAGTTCTTATGCCATTTTTTGTTGAAAACTTGCAGCAATTGGTAACATAGACACAAGTGGAATTAGTATGCTGGAAGAAGTGAAGAAGAACACAGACAGGAAAGAGCTAAAGGTACAAAGAAAATAAAAGCTTACTTCTTTGGTCATATCTAGTCTTCCACAGATTGCATACAACTCACTTTTTCAATTCTGATGGTGTTTGAACATTGCAGCTGGTGCTGGCGAATCCGCGGAGCGAGGTGATAAAGAAGCTAGACAAGTCACAGTTCATCAAAACAATTGGTCAGGAATGGATATACCTAACTGTAGCAGAAGCTGTGGCGGCTTGCAACTACATGTTGCACACTTGCAATCCGAAACATGTTACAACAGCAGAAGCCAATGGACAAGACAGTAATGTCTGAATACCCTGATTAGTTCCCAGTAACTTGAAAATGTTTTGGGGCACCATTGCTGGTTGGAACTATGTATTGTTAGTGATAAAGCTATCTCGATATAGTTATCAAGCAGCAGGCCCTCTCTGATCTTGTTATTTATCCAGAAAGATCTTGCTTGGGCCTGCTTCATTATTAGAAAGCTTCTAATGAAGCTGATTGTAGTCTTTCTTCAAAATGGAATGAAACCAGAAGCTGCTCGTTCCACTTCATTTTATGTTGTTCATGTTTAGTCGAGTGTTGACAATGAGAACTTCGAGGCAGGAGCAGTGAGCACAAATTCTCAGAATCAGTTCATTATCCTAACTAACATCTTTTCAAATGAGCTCCGGGCGGAGTACCGTTAGGATCCAGAATTGAACAACTAGCCTGATATCGGCATCAATTTGGTCTGCTTGCAGTGGTCTAGTCAGTATGTCGTAAAGCGAGCAACCACACTTTCAAAGATTGTGCACCATACTTGTTACCTTCTCTCTGAAATCCAATGAAAAATACAAAATGGAGTTTGAAATTTCTATTGCACAACCCCGCTCAAAATTTTTGGGAGACAGAAATCATCACTACACTGCAGAAAGAGCAACCAACACAGTACAGAGGTATAGAAAGACTAAATGACGCTGAACACTTGTCAGAAGATCAGGCAGAGCTTTAACACAGGACATAAGCATGAAAGATGAGTTGGCTTCGCCCAAAAGCATGTTTCTTTCTTGCAGTGGGCCGCTAACCTGAAACTTTTTCATTGCCAATCATGGGGAAAACTTGAGAACCTCTTGCAAGCATTCCTTGGCGACGTGCCATTGTGCTTATAGAAATCTCTCATCAAAAGGTGCCAAAGAAAGAAGGTGACAATCAACTATGAAGCAGGCAGCTTCTCTTTGAAAATTCGAGGGATGACTTCATGTGTAGCGACATCTAGGCTTTCTGGTTCCCTGAAAACAAGAGCATAGAACAGTTTATGCAATATCCATCAGAAGGTTTAAAAGAAACCACTCTCTGAAGATTTAGTTTTTCTAGCACAACTTATTATTAAGGAAGCTTTGAAGCTTGATACATGAGATGCGAGTCAAGGACATAATAAAGAGCAAAGGTTACAAACCCGCAGAGTGTTTGCCCCCTTTCGGTTGTACTAGGAATAAACCACAGTTTCCGCAGGGATGGTGTCTCAAATTGAACGAAAAATCCATCATGTTGGCCGTGTTTCCACTTCCTTGATCCTTGACCTTTCCAAACCTGTAACGATATCAGGAACCAGTAAGGTTCTGTTAAGGGTTATATGCCACTAAGGCACTAACGCTCAAAAGTAAAACAAGTACTCTGGCCCACTAGTCAAGAAATTAAGGGAATTGGATTGAAGTTCATCAAGCTAATGGATGGCAAGGGACTTGGAAAAAGATATGACCTTTCAAACATCGAAAAGAAAAATGTACCTGTGGGTAAGCTATGATATTTTTTGCCACAACTAAGCAAGCTGCTTTAGAGAATGATTCTTCAGCATACTGCCTCAAGAAGGAGAAACAATTGCTGTGTGTATGAGGTGATTCAAAGGCCTGACAATAAATTGAAAAAATAAACAGTTTGTCAAGGTATTGCTTGGCAGCTCAGAATTATTTCATATCCTGAAATCAATAACCAAGCACTGATACCTTGTCTATATTGACCATCGGAGCATATTTATCAGTTTGGGTCTTTTCCTTATCCAGAAGGAAGAAGACTCTTGGATCCACTTTAGAAGTTTCATGCCATGACTTAACAGCTGTTTCCATTGTTTCAACAAGGAACAAGAACATTTCATTCTCTAACTCTTCAGAACCAAGCTTCCCGGACTGGTAACAAGAGAAAATAAACCATCAGGTATCACCTCACTACATACGTGAAAGTAAGTATGGAATCGACGGAATATTCAATGCATACTATGCAAGAAAAAAATTCAGATTGAAATACAGGAGAAAATATCCGTCACCCAAATATTCTTATAATCATATCCTTCGCTCTATAGACTATAAACTGACCATTTCAGCTTTCAATGGATGCAAGTGCTTCGCCATATCAATGTTTGATCTCATGCTCTCCACCTCTTGAGCTCGTTTTTTGTCTTTTGCTAATAAAGTTATCCTCTTAATCTTTCTAGATACTTCTGCACTTTGCGGATTGTACTGTAAAGCTTCTTGAAAGGAAGCCAGGGCCTACAAGTCATGATGAACGTATAAAGAATAGTTACTTGATTAGAACATACAGAATATTTACAGACTCAATTTTAATGAAAGACTTAATCTAAGAACCAAAAAGCAACATGACGGAAAGAAAAGAGGGTCCTTCAGACATACATCATCGTAACGTTCCATGGCCTCCAATACACATCCTTTCCTGAAATATCCCTGTTTATGTAAGAAATACAAATTAGCTAGGAAACTCGGGATCCAAAACACAGAACTAAGTTAAATATTTGATCTGTAGTCCTGAGTACCTTTTCCCACTGTGGGTTGAGTTTGATGGTTGTCTCGGCATCAGCAAGTGCTTTACTTAGCTTAACCAGTTGTAGAAATGCAGCAGCGCGGTTACTAGCAACAAGTAAGAAGTTTAAAATTACAAGAAGTTCCAGCACTCAGCAGGGCAACTGAAACTCATACCATAGCATCAGTTCATGAAGATCATGGCAGTGCAAGATCATGACATAAGAAAAACAAAAATACCATGTTTCCAGTTGCGTAAACGAATAGTTCTTGAAATAAGCATGCTAAAACCATCATTGACAGCAAAATAATGCACTGTGTTCAAGACCAAAGCTCACTGCAAAATCAATTGATAACCTAAGGGAAGTCAATCTTGAGCAACATTCAAGAGGGCCTATAGTAAATTGTGAGACTTTCTAGTTCCAACACCAATACTTCAGCTAAAGCTTTGCATTTGCGATAAGAAATGAAGCCACCCAAAGGCAGCAGCAGAACACTTAAGACAGAGCAATGCTGTCTCAAACCAAAGACCGTCAAAGACTGCGAGACCAAACTCACATGAACTAGTAATTCAAGAACATCGAGGCGTCAGATTCGCTACGGCAAGCTAGGTAACTGACAAAGCAAATTGGACGCCTAATGAAACGATCAACCGAGCACCCCGATGGGGGAAAAATGAATAAGAAAAGATGCCATCTTCTTGGGACTTAAGAGGCAAGTGAAACCTAACTTCGGTGAACTTTATTACCTGTAGAGAGTCGGGTTGGAAGGGTCGAGCTTGATAGCCTGGGTGTAGAGAGCAGCAGCTTTGAGAAAGTTGCCGACTTTGAAGAATTCGTTGCCCTGATCTTTCAAAGACTTCTGGGTTCCATTAGCAGCCGATCCTGACCCCGTTTCTGCCATAGCTGAAGGCGAAAATTCCCAGATTCAGGCGAGTTTTGAGTTAGGGTTTAAGCGAGAGATCTCTCTTTCTCGACTCCAGCAGCTTCAATGGGAAATCATACTCCTGCAACGTTGGATTGGACTGGCTCGGTGGCTCTGTCAGTTGAACGAAACGGCGCCGCATCAGTTTCCATTTCCATGTAGCCTGTAGGGATGACAATTTTGCCCCGACCCGATTTACCCGACCTGTTTGGCCTGTTTTGGGGCAGGGCGGGAATAGGGACCTCTCATCGACCCGACCTGCTCTGACCCGTCCCATTCTCTACCCGTTCTTGGCTAAATTACATGTAATATTAGTCAAATTCCTTAAAAATTTATGCGAAATAAAAAAAATTTCATGTCGTTTGGATTTTGGAGCACAAAGTTATGGTTGTCCAAAGTTTGACGAAATCAGAAAAAAGTTCGTTCAGGGTAGCAAACGACATTTTTTTGTACGAAGGCGAGACCAAACCACCTTTGGCAGTCTTCGGCTTGCAAGATCTCAAAAAGTTATGCGGAATCAAAAAAAAAAATCGCGACGATCGGATACCCTAACATAAAGATACGTTCGTTTGAAGTTTCCACATAAGTTAGGATTTTTCAAAAAAAAAAAAAAAAAAAAAAAAAGGCAGAACGCACCATGGGGGTGCGGTTTGCAAAAAAAAGAAAAAGGCAGAACGCACCCTGGGGGTGCGGTCTGCAAAACCGCTCCCTACCAGTGCGGTTTTCATCGAAAAACGCGCCCTCGGGTGGCATTTTCATCGAAAAACGCACCTCCGGGTGGCGGTTTTACAAAAATGGTGCTATTTTTGGAATTTTTCGGAGTTGGGTGCTATTTTTGGAATTTTTTTTTAAACAGTGCTATTTCTGGAAAAATCTCAAATAATGACACGGGGGAGGGATTTATATATTAGTCTGTGAACGCTTATATATATATAATTAGTACGTATACATATCCGATCGATTGATAATCCGATTTTCGTCGAAACACTATTAAAATGCTCGATTTTAAATCGTGAACCTTCTAGCGATCGAAATACGAGTTTAGCCGAAATGGGATGTTACACTTTATATGAGCTTATCATGTAATCAAAGAATGTATCATCTTTCCCTCATGCCTGCACATCATTAGCTTCCACACCGGAAGAGCCCCCTTTAGACGAGTTGTTTCGAAGCATAGGCAAATAAACATCAACCATACTAACCTGATAAAACATAATAGAATATCATCAAGGTAACCACACTTGAAGAAACACGTCCACGACAAACTTTTCCTACCATTATTATTTCAGTAAAAGTACAAATAAAACTCACGTTCATGGATTCAAGCAATACTAAGTCATATTACCTGTACCATCTTCCACATAGTAATCTTGTAAGGTTTGGGCATAAGCCTCCAATCCTTATAACTTAGAGGTGAATATATTGTCGTGCGTGCTATAGTACCAAGCAAAGATGCCAATTTCGTTGCACCATCACCCGTGGGCTGCCCAAGATCGTTAACTATAACTTGAATTCGCTCCCCTGCTTGCATAGCCCAAATTGACATGCACATTGTTGGACCTCTTGTGTTTTTCTCAGGGATCGGAGCATCTTGTCTTGTAGTCACAATAGTGGATATATTCTTATCAGAAGCTGGAGGTGCCCCTGGCGTTGACTTGGATTTCGGCCGAGACATGACTTCACTGCTCATAACAAGCGAACAGAAAATGAAAAAAACAAGATGCAAAACCCTAAAAGAAAACAGAAAGAAACCAAGGAGCAAAACAATAAACGAAAGACATGCACCCAATAAAGAAGAAGCTGCAAAACCGTAAAGGAAAACACAAGAAACCATTCGTAAGACATGTAGCCAAAACATTAAAAGAAGGAACACAAAAAACGCAGGCTGTTGCAGGAGCAACTCTGAAACAAGAAATCAAAATCACTAACAAAAGCAATTAGAATTACCAAGAAGGATCGAGGAAGGATCGCGCCGTACTTCCTATTGTATGAGTTCTGCTGCAAAGAAGGAAGGGGATATTAGGGTTCAATAGTCATTTCATTTCCTGGATTCAGGAGTGTGTCACCACTGTCTCCTATTCCATCCTCGTTAATGGCTCCCCTTCAGAGTACTTCAGACCCTCGAGAGGACTTCGCCAAGGTGACCCTCTATCTTCTCTGTTATTCGCTATATGCACAGAGGGTTTCTCTACAATGATAAATCAGGCAGTAACCATGGGCTTCTTGGAAGGAATAAGGATTCGTCAGAACTGTCCAATGATTTCTCATCTCTTCTTCGCTGATGACTCTTACCTTTTCGTTCAGGCATCCCGTGCTTCTTGTTCGAATCTATTATCCTTGTTCCAGGATTATGAAAGACTAAGTGGACAGAAAGTTAACCTTTCCAAATCGGCAGTGCTATTTAGTAAAAATACTAAGGGTGAAGATGCAAGTTTCATGGGATCACAGTTGGGAGTTGGGGCTATAGGAGAACAAGACTCTTATTTGGGCCTTCCTTCTTTAATACCAAGAACCAAAAAGGATACATTCCTTTATATTGAGGAGAAGATGGGGAAAAGTTGCAAGGTTGGAAACAACGTACCCTGTCCAAAGCAGCTATGGACACTCTAATCAGAACCTCAGCCACTAATATACCAGTTCATGGTATGATGTGCTTTAAGTTCCCAGTTGATACGTGTAGACGTTTAAATGGCCTCTTGGCAAGGTTTTGGTGGGGTTCTGCTACTAATTTTGATCATCCAATCCACTGGGTGTCATGGAAAGGTCTCGCCCAAAGTAAAATTCATGGAGGACTAGACTTCAGGGATTTTAGGGCTTTTAATCAAGCTCTATTAGTCAAGTTATGTTGGCGTATTTGGTCAAACCCTAATTCTCTCATTAGTCGATTATATAAAGGAAGATATTTCAATGAAAATACGATTTTGAAAGCAACCATTGGCTCTAATCCATCTTGGGGTTGGAGAAGTATTCTCTATGGACGAGAGCTACTCGTGCAAGGCTTACGATGGCAAGTAGGTGATGGAAACAACATAGAAGCATTCAAAGATAATTGGTTATTAGCAGATAAGCCATGTCCTCCTGAGCTTAGGCGGCAAGAGGATAATTTCAATCCAAGGGTTTCCTTTTTCATCAGAAAAGGCCTACGGGAATGGCATATCCCTAGATTAAAGCATTGGTTCAAAGAAAAGTCAGTTGACCTCATTCATAATTTTGTAGTTCCCATACTACCACAAAAAGACAAGTTAATCTGGCACTTTACCAAAATTGGAACTTATTCGGTAAAAACAGGATATCATCTTGCCTTGGATAATATTTTAATGCTTAGCCAAAAATCGATGGCCTCCATCATTGAACCTCCTATTTGGAAAGGAATGTGGGCACTTGACGTCCCACCAAAGCTCAAGTTCTTTATATGGCAATGTCTGAAAGTTATTTTGCCAACTATGACGGCTCTTAGGTCCCGGGGAATTAACTGTCAATTTCGTTGTCCAGTTTGTTGGAATAGTCAAGAGAGTATTGAACAAATCTTTTTCCATTGTCCTCTTGCTCTTCACCTCTGGAATATGGTGGGATTAAGCAATTTAATTCTCTCCGCCCCAATTGAAAACTTCGGTATCTGGTGGCGACATGTTATGAACTCGGAAAGCTTCCAAATCCACTATCTCCCCTGCATTTGCCTTCTATGGAGAATTTGGAAATCTAGAAATAAAGTGGTCTTTGAATTCACTCAACCACTAGCCAGCTCGCTTGCCCGTCAATTTTTCTTCCAAGTTCAAGAATATTCCTCAGTTTCTCCCCACCCTCAGATCCTTTCTCCTCGCCCCCAGCCCTCTCGACTCTCCAGTTGGGTTGGTCCTCCTGAAAGTTTTATCAAGATCAATTTCGATGTCGCTGTTCGTGTTCCGGGTTGCTCGTCAGGACTCGTAGTTCGAGGATCAGATGGGCAAGTATTTTTGGCATTGGGATTCCACCATCCAGGAGTTTCGAATCCCTATCTTGCAGAACTGCTGGCAGCCAGGGACGCCATGCATCTCTTTAGTTCATTCTCGTAGTATTCCCCTCGCCATCATCGAAGGTGATTCAGAAGTAGTTATCCGGCAACTTGATGGTAGATGTTGTGAAGACTCGGTGGGCGGGCTCTTACTTCGTGATTGTATTCAGTTATTGAGCTCCTGTTCTTCTTGTATTCGCTTTAGCTCGGTCCCGAGGACTGTCAACTGGGCTGCCCATAGAGTGGCAAGACAAGCACTGCTGCTGTCCCCTGTAGAGTAGCGTCCTTCGATTTTGTACGGTGGCTTCATTAATTGTCTTTTTGGGGTTTTGGGTAGAGGATTTAACTATTGTACTTTGATATTACTTGGGAAAAAAAGGATGAGGGATATGAGTGAGAGGCTAGCGTTTCGGATTTGATCGAGGCTTCACGTTGACACAGGGAAGGCAATAATCAGACGAGTTTGGGACTTTGTAATTAGTTTTAATTAATTAATTGCCCTTTAAAACTTTTTACCTCCCGCTCCTTCATTTTTTAGAATTTGGAACCAAACCAAAATTAAAGTCCCACCCGCCGAAATATGAGAGAGGAAAAAGCTCTCTTCCTTTTTGCCGCTTTCAATTTTCTGAATTATATATATTTTTTTATTTTTAATTAACTTTATGTATAATCACTTTAAATAGCAATTGTATCTGTTCCTAATTATAAAACTTACTTAGTTCATTTTCTTATAACACATTTAGAGACAATTATATATGCCTTCATATATGCTTTGTTCTAATGAGTAATATATGATATGGAAGCAAATAGGATAATCATCTCCAAATTTATTAATTTATCTTATATATATTTTAAAAGAATATTAATCTACAGAGACAAATAATATAACATATTGAAGCAAATGATATATTTGCGACCACGGTTGTCAACCCGCGGGTCGACCCAATTTGACCCTGACCCGGTGAGAAAAACGGGCCGTAGGCACCCGCCGGGCCAACCGCTACAAGGTACCGGGTTGGAGGTCAAATTTTGTCATTCTGTTCTTTAGTTTGCGAAATGCGCCTATTTTCCAATTTTTCTTTTCGCCTAACTCAATCTTTGGAATCCTAAATTGAACATT